ACCAGGCCGTGGCACATCCAGGCCTGAAGTATCTACACACATCTGAGGGCTCTAAGAGAGAAAGCAAGTTCCAGGCTCAGGGTGGGGCACCAGGCCGTGGCACATCCAGGCCTGAAGTATCTACACACATCTGAGGGCTCTAAGAGAGAAAGCAAGTTCCAGGCTCAGGGTGGGGCACCAGGCCGTGGCACATCCAGGCCTGAAGTATCTACACACATCTGAGGGCTCTAAGAGAGAAAGCAAGTTCCAGGCTCAGGGTGGGGCACCAGGCCGTGGCACATCCAGGCCTGAAGTATCTACACACATCTGAGGGCTCTAAGAGAGAAAGCAAGTTCCAGGCTCAGGGTGGGGCACCAGGCCGTGGCACATCCAGGCCTGAAGTATCTACACACATCTGAGGGCTCTAAGAGAGAAAGCAAGTTCCAGGCTCAGGGTGGGGCACCAGGCCGTGGCACATCCAGGCCTGAAGTATCTACACACATCTGAGGGCTCTAAGAGAGAAAGCAAGTTCCAGGCTCAGGGTGGGGCACCAGGCCGTGGCACATCCAGGCCTGAAGTATCTACACACATCTGAGGGCTCTAAGAGAGAAAGCAAGTTCCAGGCTCAGGGTGGGGCACCAGGCCGTGGCACATCCAGGCCTGAAGTATCTACACACATCTGAGGGCTCTAAGAGAGAAAGCAAGTTCCAGGCTCAGGGTGGGGCACCAGGCCGTGGCACATCCAGGCCTGAAGTATCTACACACATCTGAGGGCTCTAAGAGAGAAAGCAAGTTCCAGGCTCAGGGTGGGGCACCAGGCCGTGGCACATCCAGGCCTGAAGTATCTACACACATCTGAGGGCTCTAAGAGAGAAAGCAAGTTCCAGGCTCAGGGTGGGGCACCAGGCCGTGGCACATCCAGGCCTGAAGTATCTACACACATCTGAGGGCTCTAAGAGAGAAAGCAAGTTCCAGGCTCAGGGTGGGGCACCAGGCCGTGGCACATCCAGGCCTGAAGTATCTACACACATCTGAGGGCTCTAAGAGAGAAAGCAAGTTCCAGGCTCAGGGTGGGGCACCAGGCCGTGGCACATCCAGGCCTGAAGTATCTACACACATCTGAGGGCTCTAAGAGAGAAAGCAAGTTCCAGGCTCAGGGTGGGGCACCAGGCCGTGGCACATCCAGGCCTGAAGTATCTACACACATCTGAGGGCTCTAAGAGAGAAAGCAAGTTCCAGGCTCAGGGTGGGGCACCAGGCCGTGGCACATCCAGGCCTGAAGTATCTACACACATCTGAGGGCTCTAAGAGAGAAAGCAAGTTCCAGGCTCAGGGTGGGGCACCAGGCCGTGGCACATCCAGGCCTGAAGTATCTACACACATCTGAGGGCTCTAAGAGAGAAAGCAAGTTCCAGGCTCAGGGTGGGGCACCAGGCCGTGGCACATCCAGGCCTGAAGTATCTACACACATCTGAGGGCTCTAAGAGAGAAAGCAAGTTCCAGGCTCAGGGTGGGGCACCAGGCCGTGGCACATCCAGGCCTGAAGTATCTACACACATCTGAGGGCTCTAAGAGAGAAAGCAAGTTCCAGGCTCAGGGTGGGGCACCAGGCCGTGGCACATCCAGGCCTGAAGTATCTACACACATCTGAGGGCTCTAAGAGAGAAAGCAAGTTCCAGGCTCAGGGTGGGGCACCAGGCCGTGGCACATCCAGGCCTGAAGTATCTACACACATCTGAGGGCTCTAAGAGAGAAAGCAAGTTCCAGGCTCAGGGTGGGGCACCAGGCCGTGGCACATCCAGGCCTGAAGTATCTACACACATCTGAGGGCTCTAAGAGAGAAAGCAAGTTCCAGGCTCAGGGTGGGGCACCAGGCCGTGGCACATCCAGGCCTGAGTATCTACACACATCTGAGGGCTCTAAGAGAGAAAGCAAGTTCCAGGCTCAGGGTGGGGCACCAGGCCGTGGCACATCCAGGCCTGAAGTATCTACACACATCTGAGGGCTCTAAGAGAGAAAGCAAGTTCCAGGCTCAGGGTGGGGCACCAGGCCGTGGCACATCCAGGCCTGAAGTATCTACACACATCTGAGGGCTCTAAGAGAGAAAGCAAGTTCCAGGCTCAGGGTGGGGCACCAGGCCGTGGCACATCCAGGCCTGAAGTATCTACACACATCTGAGGGCTCTAAGAGAGAAAGCAAGTTCCAGGCTCAGGGTGGGGCACCAGGCCGTGGCACATCCAGGCCTGAAGTATCTACACACATCTGAGGGCTCTAAGAGAGAAAGCAAGTTCCAGGCTCAGGGTGGGGCACCAGGCCGTGGCACATCCAGGCCTGAAGTATCTACACACATCTGAGGGCTCTAAGAGAGAAAGCAAGTTCCAGGCTCAGGGTGGGGCACCAGGCCGTGGCACATCCAGGCCTGAAGTATCTACACACATCTGAGGGCTCTAAGAGAGAAAGCAAGTTCCAGGCTCAGGGTGGGGCACCAGGCCGTGGCACATCCAGGCCTGAAGTATCTACACACATCTGAGGGCTCTAAGAGAGAAAGCAAGTTCCAGGCTCAGGGTGGGGCACCAGGCCGTGGCACATCCAGGCCTGAAGTATCTACACACATCTGAGGGCTCTAAGAGAGAAAGCAAGTTCCAGGCTCAGGGTGGGGCACCAGGCCGTGGCACATCCAGGCCTGAAGTATCTACACACATCTGAGGGCTCTAAGAGAGAAAGCAAGTTCCAGGCTCAGGGTGGGGCACCAGGCCTGAAGTATCTACACACATCTGAGGGCTCTAAGAGAGAAAGCAAGTTCCAGGCTCAGGGTGGGGCACCAGGCCGTGGCACATCCAGGCCTGAAGTATCTACACACATCTGAGGGCTCTAAGAGAGAAAGCAAGTTCCAGGCTCAGGGTGGGGCACCAGGCCGTGGCACATCCAGGCCTGAAGTATCTACACACATCTGAGGGCTCTAAGAGAGAAAGCAAGTTCCAGGCTCAGGGTGGGGCACCAGGCCGTGGCACATCCAGGCCTGAAGTATCTACACACATCTGAGGGCTCTAAGAGAGAAAGCAAGTTCCAGGCTCAGGGTGGGGCACCAGGCCGTGGCACATCCAGGCCTGAAGTATCTACACACATCTGAGGGCTCTAAGAGAGAAAGCAAGTTCCAGGCTCAGGGTGGGGCACCAGGCCGTGGCACATCCAGGCCTGAAGTATCTACACACATCTGAGGGCTCTAAGAGAGAAAGCAAGTTCCAGGCTCAGGGTGGAGGACCAGGCCGTGGCACATCCAGGCCTGAAGTATCTACACACATCTGAGGGCTCTAAGAGAGAAAGCAAGTTCCAGGCTCAGGGTGGGGCACCAGGCCGTGGCACATCCAGGCCTGAGTATCTACACACATCTGAGGGCTCTAAGAGAGAAAGCAAGTTCCAGGCTCAGGGTGGGGCACCAGGCCGTGGCACATCCAGGCCTGAAGTATCTACACACATCTGAGGGCTCTAAGAGAGAAAGCAAGTTCCAGGCTCAGGGTGGGGCACCAGGCCTGAAGTATCTACACACATCTGAGGGCTCTAAGAGAGAAAGCAAGTTCCAGGCTCAGGGTGGGGCACCAGGCCGTGGCACATCCAGGCCTGAAGTATCTACACACATCTGAGGGCTCTAAGAGAGAAAGCAAGTTCCAGGCTCAGGGTGGGGCACCAGGCCGTGGCACATCCAGGCCTGAGTATCTACACACATCTGAGGGCTCTAAGAGAGAAAGCAAGTTCCAGGCTCAGGGTGGGGCACCAGGCCGTGGCACATCCAGGCCTGAGTATCTACACACATCTGAGGGCTCTAAGAGAGAAAGCAAGTTCCAGGCTCAGGGTGGGGCACCAGGCCGTGGCACATCCAGGCCTGAAGTATCTACACACATCTGAGGGCTCTAAGAGAGAAAGCAAGTTCCAGGCTCAGGGTGGAGCACCAGGCCGTGGCACATCCAGGCCTGAGTATCTACACACATCTGAGGGCTCTAAGAGAGAAAGCAAGTTCCAGGCTCAGGGTGGGGCACCAGGCCGTGGCACATCCAGGCCTGAAGTATCTACACACATGCAGCACGTTCACGCCACCCACACAACACACTCATGCAGCTCAGGGTTACAGAAAGGACTCAGGAAGGGGCCTCCGTGGGGGCCGGGCAAGGAGCCTTCCATTCCCATCAAGACAACGGTGGGAGAGAACAGGAGGAAGCACCCAGGGCTGCTGACTTGGGCCAGGGGCATTTGCTGTAGCTTACCCCTGGTATATCAAAGAGCTTTCTGTAAGGCGTGCCGGCGCACGTCCCCGGGAAGCCGGCGCACAGCCACCATTAGCCCTGGGGCATCCACTGAGTGGTTTTCACTTTCTCTCTCATATATTTTTTAAATATCTTTACTTCATTTATATGTGGTGCTGAGGACCAAACCCAGCGCCATACGTGTGCCAGGCGAGTGCTCTACCCCTGAGCCCCAGCCCCAGCCCTCTTTCTCATATTTTAACAGCAGCCACTCGCTGGGGAACTACATTGGCTTTATAATCAAGGAAGATGATGTAACCAAACCCGCAGTGTGGACGGACATGCCCAGCCTTGGGAGAAGGACATGGATACAAACTGCCACAACCAGGGCACTGGCTGGCGGTGACGGTGGCCCACTTGGCACCAGTGTCCACCGCTCCTGAAGTAGCGGCTCTGTGCTTGGGTTACACGTTAGTCAGGGAGCGCCTCAGGGAGTTAGTCACCACACACACAAGCACCAGGCACCCGATTCAGACACTCTGGAGTGGGTGTGGGTACGACTGTGGTCTGACACCTTCACCCTGTTCTCAGGACTCAGTTAATCAGAAGTTGCATTTTCCTTTCTTGCTTTAGAATTGGCATTTTGCATTCATAAGCATTTTCTAGTTAAACGGCCACTTGGGAAGAAGGAGCCCATGCTGTGACGGCATCTCCCATCGGACCCACACCCAGGACACCGCGTGCTGCGCCTGCCCTCACTACGGGGTAAGTTTCCTTGAGGACCTGCTGACTGCTGGTCCAGCCTCACACCTTCGAGCACCGGCTCGTGGGGCGAGAATATCCGGGCGTCTCCGCAGGGAGAGGTGCTGATGTACAGGTGGAACTGCACGGTGTCCTTCAGCCGGAACCCTCCTCGCTCCGACTTCTGGAAGATGGAGCTCTTCTGGTCCTCTTTGCTACTGCAAAACCAACCAACAAAGGAACAGTGGCAGAGGTGACCCGAGCTGCTTGTGTTGAGAGGGAGGGTTTTCAGGGTGCTTCCCACAGGCAGGCCGGCTTAGTGGGACCTCAGGCCACCTCAGGGAGGGCCAGGTCATTGAGCAAGAGCGACTCCTGCCCCCCATGCGTGTTTTCAAACAGCAAGACACAGCGCGTGGCCTGGCGAAGGAAGGTCAGGCCAGGCCTGGGGCCCCGCAGTGTGGGAGGCTCCTCACGTCCACATTGCACGGAGCGAGACCACACGGCCTTCGCAGGCCTGGGGATCACAGCCCGGCCACGTCCACAGGGCATGTGCCTGCCTCTGTGCCTGCGCATGTGTTCCTAACTCGGTGGCTCTTGGGACTGAGGCGGGCAGAGCAGGGTAGCAGCGGGATCACGCCCACATGCTGTTCCAGGGTCTGCACCGCGTCAGGGGCTCCGCACTCACTTCAGGTAGAGCTCCAGCTGCGCGTAGAGGAACCTGAGCAGGGAGCGGCGGGCGATGATCTCCGCGTGGCAATCGTTCAGCGCCAAGCCGCGGTCGCTCATGTACTCCCCATTGATGCACTTGGTCCCCGTGGACACACTGATCACCTTGGCGTCCTTCACGTCTGTGCCTGGAGGGCAGGAGAGGGCTGCAGCCACGCGGGACCGCCCAGGCCTCCAGGTCACAGATGATGAGCCGCCCCGCCGCCTGCCCGCCTGCCCGCCTGCCCGCCTGTGCTCACACCTGCCCAGCCCGTCCCTGAGCACAGGGCCCTCACGCAGCAGGGCAGGTGCACTGCCCCCCCACTGCCCAGGAACGCGGCACCGTGAAGAGACTGGCCAGCTGGGCAGTAAGGGTGAAGCCAGAACCAAATCACCCAAGAGGTGCAGCAGAGGGCTCGAAGGTGCCGAGGCCCCTCACGCTGAGAGCCCGTCACGTTCAACCATCCTGGCGAGGGGCCACCTGGGACAGCCCTGCGGGACCGGCCACAGGCCCAGAGACCGACTGTGAGCTGGGTGGGGCTCAGGGTACAGCCTAGCACTTGCCTTCACAGAGGCCCTGGGTCCCACCCCCTGTGCCAGAAAAGACACAGTGACCTGGGTGGGGGCTGGTGGCAGCCTCGCCTTGTGGCCAGGGGCGAGAGGTGCCAGGGTCAGCGCCCTGGCAGACCGTCCTCAGCAGGCTGACTCCCGGCAATGCCAGGCCAGTGCTGCTGCCCCCTGGCTTCAGACGCACTTTTGGCTTTGAGCCGACGATCACGGGAAGATTCAGCATGTGGTGCCACCTCTTCCCCGGTGACTGGGCACCCGAGGGAAGGAGCAGCTGGCCTCACCCCTGAGGGCGTGGAGCTCGCAGGGAGCCAGCTCACAAGTGGCACCCTAACACCGGCAGGCCCAGGCGCCAGACACTGGGGCTCACCTGAGAGGAGCCTTGCAGTGGGTAGGCCACGGCCAGCAGCACAGCCATGACCACAGCAGCCACGGCTCCCGGGCACCAGGCTGAGCACCAGACTCATGGCCCCCTACAACCTGAAGAGGTGGCCACCTTGGGAGAGGGGCCACGGTCCCCTGCACAGGGAACCAGGTTTCTCCCTGGCTGGCAGGTGTCACCCTCCCCACCTCCCTCCCTGCCTGGCCTCTGCCTGCACTGGAGAGTCCATGCTGGGTGACCCATGCTGGGAGTAGAGCCCCCAGGAAATAGGGTCCTCTCCTGGGCCCCACCCCACCCAGGGGCCAGGCACTGGCTTTTCCTCAGAGTTCCCAGGAAGGACCCCAGCTTCTTTCACTCCTGGAAACTTCTGGAAGAACCTGAAGGAATTACCAGAGCTTCCCCCGCCCCCTGACCTGCACTCTCCAGCCGTCCTGCCCCTGGTCGAGCCCTCCTCGGCAGCCCTCGGCCTGGTAGCCTGGCGCCAGGGACGCAGCACCAAGTCCTGCTCCCAGGCGAAGGCTCCCCGTCGGCTGCCTCAGGACAGGCCGAGGCCAGAGGCCGTCCGCAGGAGGAGGACAGGAGGAGCCCTCCTGGGCTGGCCTAGGCGTCAGGCCCGTCTGCTGTGCCCTGGGCGGGGGTGGCCTGAGGCGGGGCCTCTGCCTGCCGACACAGACCCTGCCGAGCTGCACCGCGTCCAGGCGAAGGGCCCAGGACAGCTACTGCCTGCACACACAGCCCCACCGATGAGAGCAAGGCAGACCACACAGGGAAACAGGAGGGGGAGACAGGTGGGCACGGCTACCTGTGGTCATGACGACTCCAGCCAGCACTTTTCTGCGTGCGTGAGGTGAGGAGAAGTTGTCCGTCAGGTCACTGAACTTACCCAGGACCAGGCGCGAGACGGCATCTGCCAGCACCTGGGGAGGAAGGACCTGAGGTCAGGCCTCGTACACCTGGGAGCCAGCGCCTCTCCACGCCAACACACGCGGCTCCTCACACAGGGACGCTTGCGGACCATGGCCACCCCAGGGACCACTGGGTAAAGGTGACAAATGTGTGTGTGTCCTCCAAAACAACCCTTGAAACAGGGGCCAAAATGTCATGCGGGACTCAGCTGGGGGTCCTCCAGGCCCCCAGCCCCCTCACCTGGGGAAACGCCGGCCCTGGATCTGCTGACCCTCAGCCACCCTGCTGTGGCCACAGCACTTTCAGGGAGGGAACAGGCTCCTCTTTGGCCCTCCTTGTGACAAAGGGCAGCTGGAGGAGACGTGCTCAGGCCAGAGAAGCTCTGCGCATGACCGCATGTGAGCGCGAGCCGCACTGAGCGTATGCCTGGAGGGGGAGGTGCCAACACGGCAGTGGGGACGCCTGGCCACAGGGTGCCCTGCTCGAGGCAAGTGCCTCTGTCAGGCCCCAGAGGTGGGCTTCTCGGCTTTAGATTTATCTTGGAGACAGTGACAGAGTCTTTGGGGTGTCAAGCCAAGTCTGCCAGATGCCACCAACTCACCTGTCGGCACAATCCAGTGGCCCCGGCAAACCCCGTCCCCCTAATCCTCGGGAAGCACTTCCACAGCGCACGGCAATGCCACTGCTCCCAGGGCCAACCTCCTTGGGCAGGATTGTCCCCGTCACTGCACAGCAGATACCAGGGCATCCAGGGCACAGGACAGGGCAGCTGTGCTGCGGCTGGACCCTCACCGCCCTCTCAGCCCTGGGGACCTCAGCAGCACAGGTCTGAGGGCAGACAGGGGCCAGCGAAGAAGGCCATGCAGGGCACTCACACCCCGGGCAGCAGGTGGAAATCAGCTGCTGTTGCCTGGGAGCAGCCCAGCACCCAGTGCCCGGGGAGCGGAGAGCTAGAACCACAACGGGTGGCTGGCCTCGCGCCCTGTGGTGCAGAAGCAGCTCCCCTCTAAGTCCAGGTGGCTGTGATGTGGAGGTAGCAGGCCCTGCCAGCCAGGCCAGGCCATGCGTCCTAGTGGCCACACAGCAGCCCGGGAGCCTCCACAGCCTGCGCCAGGCCTGAGGTAGATGAAACCCCGGCAGACCTCACGTGGCCAACGCTCTGAACTCCCTAAGCCCCTGTGCCAGGAATATGGGGAGGCAGTCCTGAACCAGGAGGCTGGGCCTGAGGCCTTCCAGTTACCCCAGGAAAACAGCAAAGACTCCTGTCCACTCCAGAACAGGTGCTCTGAAACTTCCAGGCAGAAAACCGCAGAGCCCGGCAACATGCCCAGCAGGACCAGTCCTGGGAAGGCCCACCCTGGTCCTTTGAGCAACACGGGACCTCGCCTGATCCCCGAGGGCTTCAGGAGACACTGTGGAGGGCTGAGCGGACACAGGAGGGGGCACAGGAAGGGTTGGGAGGACATAGCTCCCACCCGAGGTTCTGGACTACAGAGGGCCAGAAGCAAGCCGGGGCCTGCCAGCCGTGCCCCTCCCCACAGCCAGGCCCCACTAGAAGCCCTCCCAAGCTGGACACTCGGTCCTCTCCTCACTGAGGTGGCTGAGGCACGGCCAGGCCATAGACCCCTGGGCACACTTCCGTCTGCTTCCCTGGGCTGTCCTTGTCCCCTCGGGGCCTGGGTAAAGACCCACAGCAGCTGAGCATGCAGGGCTGGAGAGCACCATGGACGGGGACGATGGGCACGGCAGACTTCTGCGCCAGTGGAGAAGCCCAAGCGAGCCACGGGACCAGGGTGAGGCACCCCTGGGGAACTGCTGCTGCCAGTCTGCACAACGGCAGCCGGACCAGCAACTCGGGGAGCGATACTGGCCAGGGCAAAGGAGGGAAGCAAGCACTGGTTCCCAACGGCATCAGCTGTCCCTTCATGCCGACGCGGCATTCGGTGGCTAGAGGCAGAAGAGAACCTGTTCCTCCTCTGCAGCAGAACTCCTGGTCCCAGACTCCAGCTGCAGGGTCAACAGAAACCCCGTATTGGTCCCAGGAGGATGTAAGCCTGCCTGGTCCTGGTCTGGGGGGGTGCACTGGCTCCCCAGAAGAAGGCGCGGCAAGAGGAAGCAGCACAGGAGTGGAATGCAGTCCTCACCACAGACCAGCGGGACTCAGGCTCCAAGGACAGAAGCAAGACTGCAGCAGCTGGGCCTCCAGAGCCAAAGGCCCAACTCCCTTCCTCTCGGATGCCACCAGAGCCACCTGCAGCTCCCTCTCTTCACCTTGATTTTATCAGGGTAGGGGACAAACCTCAGAGGCTGCCCATGTCCAGTCAAGCAGGAAGGAGCCTCACACAGACGCCACGCAGGGCACTCAGGGTGCAGAGACTCCTGGGCAACTGGTAGGCCCTGGAGTCCTTGTGGATGCCCCTCTGGCATGTGGTCCCCATTGCCCCCAGCACCTTCTCTGCCCCGCTAGGCTGCTGCCTGGGGAATGCAGCCTGGGTCTCCTGCTGGTCCAGCCAGCAGCCCTGACCTGGTGCAGACTCCCCTGGGGAGGTGAGTGAGCATTCACTGAAGGGCCATGTCCAGTGTTGGGCTCTCCCCACCCTGACAGGGCTTGCTGTGGGGACCACAGGTCGTGACTGAGACTCTGCCCTGGGGACGGGGTCTTGGGAGTCCCTGCACTGCCCTGGACAGCCCCAGCGTGCACTGGGGACCACAGCCTCTCCCCGACCCGGCCACGAAATCAAGGAGAGCTGCCCGGCCAGACTTACCAGCCCACCTCCTGCTGAGGCAGAGCCACGCTGCGCCGTGTGGCCAGGCGCGGGGCTGCTGCTTCAGCACGCGCCTGCTTACCTGTGGCAGGTGCAGCTGCAGCCCCTCGCTGGGCACGGGCTGGCGTGACGGCGTCTGGTCCAGGTGCAGGTTGAAGATGGTGGCCAGGGCCGATTGTGCCGCCCGAGCCTTGGCCAGCTTCTTGTTCCTGCCCGACCCCTCGAAGAACTGGCCGTCCACCACCACGGACATGACGAAGCTCTTGGCATGGCTCTCCCCGCTCTCGGAGAGGAAGTCATACTTCAGCCCTGGACGCAGCTCGTTGAGGATCATCACAGGGTTCTTCCCGCTGGGCGGCGGGAAGGGTGGTGGGCCCGGCAGGGGGGGCTGGGCAAGGCTGGCGGGCACAGGTGAGGCCGACAGGCTGAGGTCCCCGCTGGAGCTGAGGGACTCGTCTCCGTTGGAGCCCATGCAGAAGGACTCCACCCGGTCTGGGGTCTCGAAGCCATTGAAGAGCGTGTCAGGGAAGTCGGCCTGGTCAGATGTGAAGTCTGTGTGCACGGACAGGGTCCTACCCATAGCCAGGTGGGCCTCGGAGGCATTGGGAAACTGGACGAAGGACCTCAGGGCCTTCTCTGCCGCATGCAGCTTTGCCTTCTTCTTTGTGGGGCCAGAGCCCTCGAAGACCTGCCCGTTAACCTCCACAGACATGACGAAGAGCGGGGCGTGCACGGGCCCCGTCTGGGAGAGCAGCGTGTACTGCAGGCCGGGCTTGATCTCGTTCAGCTGCATCAGTGCATTCTTGGGCAGCACGGGCCCTGGCGCTTTCCTCCGCTTCTTCAGGCGGTACCTGGAGTGGCCATTGCTGCCCTCCTCCAGGGGCCGCTTCCGGCCAGTACCACTGCTGCCCCCACCAGGGAACTGCAGGCCCTCACCAGGCCCAGGGGCACTGCCGTCCTTGGGGGACACGATGTCCAGACTACGGTTCTCCTTGATGTCAGTGCTGCTGGAACCTGCGGTGCCCAGAAAGAGTAACTTGCAACGCCTTCGTTGCAGGACCTTGTAAATGCAAAATTTACAGATTCCTTGGCCTCTTTGCAACGGTGAGTGGTGTGTGTGTGCCCTGCTCCTCCCTGCAAGCCCGAGCAGGCCCTTCCACCAGAGAACTGCCAGCCTCGACACTGCACCCAACAGTGGCTAAGTGGCCACCTAGCTCCCCTGTGGCTTCTGCCTAAAGGGGAAGTTGAAGAAGTGGTTCTGGGGGTTGAGCCCGGGGCGCTCAGCCACAGGCTACGTTTCAGCCCTTTTTGTTTTTTTCTGAAACAGGGTCTGGCTAAGTTGCTGAGGCTGGTCTTAAGCCTGCAGTCCGGCCTCAGCCTCCAGAGCTGCTGGGTCACAAGCCTGTCCATCCTGCCTGGCAAAGGGTGAAGAATTTTAAGAGTCTTTCTACTGAGAATATTCTGAATCATCCAGAAATACTTTACTCGATCTTTTCTAAATATTAGACAGTTAGTTAATCCCCCAAAGTCCCCATTAATTAGTCTGTGAAATGGCAGTGTGTCGGGACAGACAGATGCCCATTCACCCAGGGAGCCCCTCTTGCCCAAGGGCACCCACCCCACGATGCCCCTCAGTTTTAAACTGCAGCATCTCTCACAAGAGGAAGCAGCACTTTAAAATACATTCACAAATCAATTAGTTTTTTCAGTTTAAAAATAGTCAACCAATATATGTGACCATTTCACTTAGTTCATAATTCAAAAAAACTGTTTACATGATTATATAAAACACTATGACTTTTTAGAGATTATTTTTGAAGGACACGACTTTATTTCTGGTATTCATTTGAAATTTTTCATTATATGCAGGGATCTTTACCTCAGAACTCTTAATATGTTCCATGATAGAAAAAAAATACAAGCACAAAATACAAGATTGTTGTGAACAGGCTTCATAACTAAGTCTGGCAGTTTTATATTTTAAAAACAACTCTCTGATAGGCCTGCAGAATGATCTCCTTATCTACCCTTTAAAGATACTTCATAAACTTTAGAATTCTAGAACTATAAGGCAAGATGACCATGACTCTGATTTTAAAGGGGAAATGAGCACTCACTCTCCTGTTAAGTTGGACAGACAAGCAGAGCGGCTCTCTGGCCAGCACCACAGGACCCTGTGTGAAGCCCCCACTCGCTCTGGGGGCCCTGGGACCCACTCAATCCCAGGACACCCCTGGAACTTGAGCAGTGCCCAGGGAGGACTTGGGCAGCCACTCCCTGTGAGGCCGGGCAGGTGCTCCTGCTACTGGCACACTGAGGACCCGGGAAGGCCCTGGACACTGCCCTGACACCAAAGGCCGCTGGCTTAGACCTGGGCTTCCCTCCACGACCCGAGTGACACACACACCACTCCTCCAGTCACAAAGCTGCCGGAATGGACACTAAATTTCCATTTATAACATCCTCCAGCAAAAGGCCGGTAGGTTACTCCTTTCGGAACTCAAAGGAAGAAGAGGTTAAAAGAGCAGAACCGAGACGAATCAGAGGTCAGTAAGGGCAGCGAGGACGGCACGGCCAGCTGTGCACAGGCCATCAGCAGGGAGACCCCGCGGGACGCCGGACACCTCTGTAGACCCACAGCCAGTGGCCAGTCGTCCCCCAACCGCTGCCTCCACAGTCTAGAGACCACAGGACAAGAGCTCCCGCCCGGTCCCGCCCACTCCAGGGGCTCCTCCATGGCAGAGGCTGGGGAGCTGGCCACCTTCTACCCAGGACCTCCAGGCACAGGAGGCGAGTGTGACCTGCGAAAGATCCGTCCTCACGGTGCCTCTGGGACAGACGCCTGCCCCGCCCCCCGCCAGCTGCTGCCCTTCAGAATGACGGACGGACGTGGAGCCAGGGCGCTCCCGTGTTGGCTTGGACCCCAGCTTATCTTCTCAGGAAAATGGTTCAGGAAGGTTCTCGTCAGGTGACTGCCACAGGCTCCTGTGTGGATGGCGGTGGCCTGGGGACCCGCAGGCATCCCTCAGGGAGTCACCCCAACACATGGCTAAGTGCCTTCTGAAATGAGGCCACACTCACTCTCAAAAATTGTGGCAAAACCAGAAATGGCAGAGGCACTGGCAGCAGAAACCTATGCCTGGGTTTTGGAAAGCTCTCAAGGGCAAGACTGAGCAGGACAGTGACCTGAGAGACACACCACAGCCCACCCACCCTCAAGGCAGGAGAGACCGACAGTCCCCACGCAGGGCAGCAGGGGCACAGGAACCTCTGAGGGCTGCTGGACTCGGTGGCCAGCAAGAGCAGGGCCACGGCCTCTGCTGGTTTGGTGTGGACTCTCAGGAGGTACAGAGAGCAGGTTCTAGTGGACGTCACCACTGCTGCAAAAGGGGACCGGCCCACGAGGCTGCAGGCACTCCTTGAGACGGAAGCACCCAAGCACAAACACAGGTCAGCTGGGCAGGCACGTCCGTCAGCCAGGCGCGTACGTCTGTCAGCTGGGTGGGCACGCACGTCCATCAGCCGGGAGCTTAGTCAGTCAGCCGGGCACGTCCATCTGTCAGCTGGGCAGGTACATCGGTCAGCCGGGCGCGTCCGTCTGTCAGCTGGGCAGGTACGTCTCTCAGCTGGGCAGTACGTCCATCAGCCGGACATGTAGGTCCATCAGCCGGGCACATCTGTCTGTCAGCCATGCACGTACGTACGTCAGCGTACGTCTGTTAGCTAAGTACGTACATCTGTCAGCTAAGCACGTAGGTCTGTCAGCCGGGCACGTCCGTCTGTGGGCACCTACGTCTGACAGCTGGGCACATACGTCTGTGGGCACGTACGTCTGACAGCTGGGCACATACGTCTGTGGGCATGTACGACTGTCAGCCGGGCCCATACGTCTATAGGCACGTACGTCTGTCAGCCGGGCACATTCGTCTGTGGGCATGTACGACTGTCAGCCGGGCCCATACGTCTATAGGCACGTACGTCTGTCAGCCGGGCCCGTACATTTGTGGGCATGTACATCTGTCAGCTGGGCATATTCGTCTGTCAGCTAAGCACGTAGGCCTGTCAGCCGGGCATCTACGTCTGACAGCCGGGCACATATGTCTGTCAGCCGGGCACCTACGTCTGTCAGCCGGGCCTGTATGTCTGTCAGCCAGGCACATACGTCTGTGGGCACCTAGGTCTGTCAGCCGGGCACGTTTGTCTGTGGGAACGTACATCTGTCAGCCGGGCATGTACGTCTGTCAGCCGGGCACGTTCGTCTGTGGGCACCTAGGTCTGTCAGCCGGGCACGTTCGTCTGTGGGCACCTAGGTCTGTCAGCCGGGCACGTTCGTCTGTGCGCACCTACGTCTGTCAGCCGGGCACGTTTGTCTGTGGGCACGTACGTCTGTCAGCCGGGCACGTACGTCTGTCAGCCGGGCACGTACGTCTGTCAGCCGGGCACGTTCGTCTGTGGGCACCTAGGTCTGTCAGCTAGAAACACGACCTCGTCCCCTGATGGCCTGCACACGCTCCTGCCTTCAACCCTGGGATGGAGCAGCACTCTCCACACCTGTGACAGTGTGTGACAGAAGGAGCCTGAGGCGCTGGTGGCCCAAGAACCTCCCAAAGAACGGTGTGCAAAGGAAAGGTCTAGAAGTGCTGGCCCCCAATTCCCAGACCCCGGGAGGTCACTGGAGCCTGGAGATGGTGAGACCCTCCCAGAGGCAGGAGCTGACCGTGTCCCGGCATGCCCAGCAGCCAGGCACCCAGGTCAGTCCAGGGGACATCTCTGAGTGCCCAGGTGAACGCTGAGCATCACTGCCAGGACCACGCTGTGGCACACCCTCACAAGCCGTGTAGACTTACGGGCTGTACACCTGGAGGCACATTTCCCCCAAAATGACAGCTAGTGACGAGAAAGGGGTGAAACCTGCCCAGGGGACTGGAGGGAAAGACCCCATGGACACCACAGAGATACGGAAGAGCGCGCCACCGCCAAGACCCACATCGGCGTGCCCGGGTGGTCGTGCCAATCAGGTGGGCAGACCCTGAGTCGGACGGAAGCTATCTGCCGGGCACTGCGCGGCGGGCCCAGGTCTTACTCATGTTCTCTTCATCTTCTAGGTCCATGGCAAAGTGCTTTTGAGAGCTTCTTGACTGGCGGAGACTGTTTCTGTCTGAAAGACAGCAAGAAAACAAGGCTCAGTGTGACTGTCACGGAGTGGAGGCAGTGGTCATGGCCCTGCCCAGGCACAGGCCTGGCCGGGGCTCCAGCACCTCCTCGCAGCACCACAGCACCAAGGACCCCAGCTGGGACCCCTGAGAGGAGGACAGCGGAGGGCAGAACCGGGGTCACAGCCAGGGGCCAGGACCTCACACTCCACTTGGCCAGTGCAGGGCGTGAAAAGCTGGGAACCAGGGGTAACCCACCCCGGGGCGAAGCCCAGTGACCACACTGCTGACCACACAACTCAATGAGTCCCCCCACCAGTGACTGTCCAGTTGTCACCTGGGTCGATGTGAGGCTTGGAATGAAGCAAAGGCACATTTGAGATCCACCGGCCAAGCTTCACCCAGTACTGCACTACGCAGCAGCTGGACAGACCCGCGAGTCTCCAGGTGACCAACCAGCCTCAGGTGACCACGGCTGGATTCCCAGGAGAGACCCAGGACTCGCTGAGGACAGGTGCTGTGGCTGCCCGTCCCTCGCCACTCTGCACAGTCTCCGCCCAGCATCTCTGACAACCTTCATGACTGTGCTGACAGTTGGTGACAAAGAACCTCATCACACTGCACCAGGACAGGGCGTGAGATTCCGTAGCGATGTTGCTTTTGTGCCAACAAAATGCACATTATAAATATAAGAAGGCACATCCACTGCTTCAGAACATGGTGGCTTGTGTGCCAAGGCGTGGGGGTATCATGCGTCCTGTATGTAGGATGTGGGTCCTCGGGCGACGGTCACCTGTGAGTGTCCTGAATCTCACTGCATTCCCGGTGAACGCGCTGTGCAGCTACCCGGTCTCTGTGAGGACGCCTGTGCTGCAGAGCTCTCTGCAGGGTCTGGAGGCACGGACTTGTGTCATCACCACCTCAAGACACGCTGAGCACCCCAGGCAGAGGGCGCCGGACACCAGAGAACTCAGCCAGGCAGACGCAGCCACCGGGAACTCAGCAGCACACGGCTGCATCTAGTCTTGATGTTTCCATGATGGAAAGTCAACACGTGTGCCTCAGCGTAGTCTCAGATGGGAGGTCAGAAGTGTGGCTGGAAGGACTAGTGTCCTCAGCAAGCGGGGAATTGGGGCTTCTCGGCTGGGACGGGCAGCTGGGAGAGATGGGATGTGACCCAGGGCCCAGCCCAGCTGGGCGAGAGGTTGGCGCGGGCCAGTGGAACAGAGCCGTGGCCTGGCGCAGCTGCAGGTCAAGGGGAGCACCAGGCACCCTGGGCACCCTGCTTGACCTCAGGGCAGCAAAGGAGCCAGTCCACAGCCCCCCCTGCCTGCTGAAATGCTGTGCCAAGGCAGGGGGCTACCCACAGGAAGAGGGAGCAGACGTGCCCCTCCCTCCACCATGCCCACCCAGAGCCCTGCCCTGGGTTTAAAACAGACACAAGGTCACCGAAAGGCAAAGAGGAGGCCAGCCAAGCAGGGCACACGGAGAGCAGCCTGAGTCCCCCGACGAGGAGCTGGGGCCCTAGAAGCCCGGAACACCAACAGCACAAACTCACACAGGAGCCCTCGCACATCAGGTTCCTGGCCAAAGGACCAGGAAAGGGCAGGCCCCAAGAGGACAGCCCTCTGCTCCAGCCCCCCAAACCCGGCCCCAGGCGGAAAGAGGACCCAGGGCCTGCTGGGGGTCGGACTGGCAGTGGGGCTGCTTCTGTCCTGTAGGCGGCAACAGGCCGGGCCCTGCCACTCCCCACCCCACCTAGAGGGGACAGGCCACCTGTGCTGCCACTGGAACTCTGAAGGGGGCAGCAGGAGGCCCTCAGCAGGAGGAGTCACAGGGCCAGCGGGCCTCAGCAGCGCAGGAGGCAGCGCCCCTCCCCTCACAGGCAGAGCAGGGAGAGTGACCAAGCATGGCAGGGGTCTGTAGTGACAGCAGCGGCACCTGGGTCAGGCGGGTCTCAGGCGGGACTCGGCAGACGCCTAAACCTCACGGCAGGCACCCTCACTACCGCAGAGCCACACTCACTCAGAAACAGAGGCTCACTAGTCGGTCGATCAAGATGGGCAGTGGGAAGGCCACCCTCAGGCAGGAAGACAGACAGACCCTAGGGATGAGGACGGGGCAGGTCCCAGCAGGAAGGGTGCCCCAGTGCAGTCTCCTGGCCTTTACACACGCCTTGGCCTACTCTCACATCTAAGTCCTGAAAAGGACCAGGGACAGCGTCACAGTGGAAGGTGGCCACACAGCAGGCCGGCAGGCGTAGAGGCTGGGACCTCCAGTCCCGCACCTGCAGATGCCAGCACTGGCAGAAGGTCAGGGCCCAGAGCAGAGCCCGCCTGGCTCAGCGCACGCTGCCCCCTGAACGGCCTCCACAGGCGCGCAGGGTCAAAGCCTCACCGAGAGCCCAGAGGTAGAAGGGGGTGAAGGGAAGGCTCCACTTCCAGCCGTATTCAGGATGGGATGCACCGGGCCAGGGGAGGTCCGCCCACAGCGGGAGGCCAAGGGCTTCAGGAGGCCTGAGCCTCCTGTCCCTTCCCTCGGGCCCAGTGGCACTGGACCTCTTTAATGGGGCAGCGAGCAGGTTTTCATGTTCACGTGAAAAAAGAAAAAGTCCAAATAACCAGAACAGTCTGAACCGAAGGAAGGGACCCAGGTGGGACCCCCAAAGGCCACGTGTGCTGTGCAAGTCCCAGGCCAAGGTGCAACGCAGAGGCACCTTGTGTTGAACTGGGCGCCTTTCAGCAGACGCCACAGGAAGACGGAGCCCGAGGCTGGTGGAGAGCTCCCCCTCCCACCCCCAGCTCAGCAGGCAGCCCTCTCGTCTCCAGGCCAGCGGGGACCGTGCTCCACTGTCCTTTGCACCTGCAGAACAACAGCTGTGCACAGTCACCTCCTGCTCCAACTCTCACCTGCAGAGGGGAGCTGGGGTGTCCCTTGGCAGAGAAAAGACACTGTGGGTGCTCACTGGGGCTAAGGGTGCCTCGGGCCTGGAACACCCTCCACCACGCTGGTGGGAAAGGCTACCCTGGAGCCACCAAGATCTACAGATTTTTAAAAGAACTTGAGACGAGTGGTACGCCTGGTTAAATGACCACGATCCCCACACTTCTTCCCTCGCGGAAAGTGGTGGTTGAGTCAGTTTCACATTTTCTGTACGGCCCTCAGGGGTCTCCTTTAAATAGCTGTAAAATGCAAACTCGCAGAGAGGACTGAACCTGGGCTCCTCTGTGTGATTCTCACTCCAAACCCACAGGTGGAGGGCCAGAACCACTGTTCAGTGTAGAAAAGAAAACCAGGAAGAGCGCAGAGTCCCATGGGGCGTCCGGCGAAGGCAAAGCCTGCCACCAGCACTAGCCAGGCCTGCCCAGGGAACCACGTCATCCTGGTTCCTGTTCTGCTCTCAGTGCTGTCCGCGTGGAGACCCCGTGGAGGGTCTCCAAACGCTCGACTGGAGCACTCCACAGATGCCCAGGCACACGGCCCAGTTGGCCCTGGCGATCGCCTGCCCAAGCCGCAGACGGCGCACTGCGAGGTGCAGGGCGAGCAGGAAGGTGCACCAAGGGCGGAGCACAGAGGAGTCAGGGCTCAGGTGACGGGGCGGACACCAGCAGCTGCTAAGGACATGGACAAACAAGGAAGGCGGCGACAGAAAATTCAGAAGAGACTGGCACACTCCGAGCACAGTGTGCTTCCCTACCTCGGGCCCTGGGCTTGGTGGCGGACCAGCCACCCATGGCCATGGCATGGGGGAGTTCAAGGAGCTGGAGGGGGTGTGCAGGAGGCCTGGGTTCTGGGGGACCCTGACTGGGGCCCACTGGGACAGCAGCAGTGCTGATACAGACATGTGTGACCCCATGTCCCTGCTGTCCCTGCTCTATGCACAGTGGGAGTCCAGCCGGACGCCCAGAGCCCACCTGCTCCTCCTCCTCCCTCAAACCACACACCAGCCCTTCTCCCCATCAGGCTTGAAGGTACGTGCTGTCCACCCTGATGGCCCTCCCCCAGCAGCCAGGGCGGTCTGCATGGACCAGAGGTGACCTCCAACACACACCCACATGTTCACATGCCAGGCTGGGTGAGTTTGCCCTGGTCCGGGAGTGTAGGGACCCCGCAGGAGCTGACCACAGCTGTCCTGAGACACGGTCACCATGAAGCACAAGAGCTCTGGCCTGTCCACCTGCACAGTCCTCAGCATCCTAGAGACAGACGGAACGACTGGAGCCACACAGGAGCTCCGCAGGACAGCACCGTGAAGTGCAGACACCTTTCACATTGCCCACACTGTCCAGGCCCACTGCAGTTTGAGCGAAAAGCACCTTTGTCCTGACCACACCAAAGCCCTCTCCCGCTGGCCCAACCTGTGAGGTCCACCACCTGACCACGCTGGTCAGAAAGTCCCCAGTAAATGGCACCCTGCGTGGCCCTGGATCTGCGGGCCTGGCCCCTTTGCCTACAGCAGCTGGTTCTTCGACACCAGGTTTTCCTGACACACGGCTTCCTTAGAAGCCGAGACCCCGGTTCTCAAGTCAGAGACCTGCAGCACTCAGGGGTCTGAGCTCACAGCCACCTGCCAGAGACACTGGCAGCCTCCCCACTCCTCCCGTGCACGGTCTGCCTTTCCTGTGGGCTGTGAGGCCCGTGCGGAGGGCCCCTGGGCCTGCTCCGTCTGCCCAGCTCACCTGTGGCTGCCTGCTCCCGAGAGGCACAGCTCAGCAGCACCTGCCAAACAGGCACTTGAGTTCTTCTGTCCCCGGTTTCCTCATGACACCCCTGGTACCATGTCAAACACACAGGGCACATTCCTGGCTTACATGGCAGCTCCTCCTCCCACATGGCTGCTACGGAGGGAATGGCACAGTGCCTGGGGCCATCAGTCCCCAGAATGCATGGGTCTCAGCTAGGGCCACAGCAAGCAGGTGCTCTGCTGGCTCTTGAGGTCTTCAACATGGGGCCGCAGGTCAGTCTCGATCAGGGGAGATCGCAGACGTCCACTAATCCCCCATCT